TTAGAGAATTTTGTTGATTTCTAATGTAGGATTTTTTTTTTTTTTAAGAGAGTAAGGGGAAACATACATAAGAAAGTGGTTTTCTTGGGTACATTAATTGGTACCCCTATGTGAACTAACCTGAGTAGTGTTTCTGACTCCCTATATAAATTTTGTGTGTGTGTGTGTGTGTGTGTGTGTGAGTATTGTCAGCAAAATTAATGAATGGAAATGGAGGGAAAGGTGTATTTTAATTCTGTGCAAACAACTGCTTCTTTGAGTCATGCAGCAGAAATTTTCAGTTTGAATCATCATAGAACTCTGGCTCTGTAGTATTACTTGTCAGATATAAATATTTTATTGGTAGGTGACTTTCTTTTGTTCCTGAAGGCAACAGGTGGCTCTCTCTGGGAGTCTCTGTAGCAGAGAATAAGTTCTTTAGCAATAGGGGAAGATTTGTTTTTCGTGTGATAAAATGCAACATGAATAATAGCATTAATATACTTTCCCACAAATAATTGGATAAGCAAATCTCAGAAGATAGATATCTAATAATATTAATAATGCGTTGTGATTAATGTAATAAAATAATTCACATTTTATATATGAGGGAACCTTTGCTTACAGAAATTGTAATTTGCCCTAGGCTGCTAGACCCTAGATATTCAACCAGAGCTAACCAAAGCTAAAACCTTGTTTTCTTGGCTATAATTTTTTGAAAATCACTTATATATTTTCCAGAGTAATAAAAATCATTTACTAAGCACTGATGAACACGTGGTATTTATTTTATTATTAACCAAAAAAATTATGGAACATTTCCTCTTAGAGAATTTTGTGAAACCAGTTAAATACTTCAGTGACTTTTAAAGTTTGTTTCTTGTTTCATATTTTATTACAAAAGGGATAGTATTATTTCCAGTGGAAGTGGGTTTCTTTTAGAGTCACAAGGAAAGCGTTCCGGAGACCCAGGTATGGGAGAATGTGAAGCAGTGACAAGGGTTATTGAAGTTGAAGTAAACACAAAGTGCTGTCGTGGATTTAGCTCCATCTGCTCTGGAACAGTTAATTCTTGTCTTCATCAGGCCCAGAAATAGGGCCAGTGTCCAGACATTTTGTGCCATTAGTTTAGTCCAGTCTAGTCCCTGTCCTTGTCCAGCTAGCTTAGCTTCAGTTCCTTGCTGCCCTGCAGCTGGCGCGCTGTGCCCAGGCCCACGCTTGGAGTCCTGGTGGCTGCTGGGACCACATGGTAGCTATGAAGAGAAAATGGTGAGTGCACGTTACCGGAGAAAGAAGAGAGAAGCTTTGTTAAGCTTCACAGGCTTGAGAAAGACCAAATGTCATTTCAAACTAAGCAATCGGCTTCCCAATCTTGCCCACACTGGCGCTGGGTCCTAATCAATTCATTTCCTAGATCTTGGGCACAGTGGGTGGCTCTGTGTCCCTTATCCAATCCAATTGTTTTCCCAGGCAAGACTGACAGGCCTCTGTGGTCACTGTCTTAGTTCCTACTGCACATGCCTCATAGTCAAAACACCTCCCTCATGCCATCTTGGCTCCTACTGCGCATGAGCCCAGTGGAAAAATCTCTCCTGCTGTTTTTATTCCTCCCCCATAATGATCCTTCCTGCTCACTAAGGGGGATTAGGTCCCCAGGGTGGAGTGTGCCCTGGGGAGTGTGTGAAGCTGTTACTTCTAGTAAAGCAAGCACCACTCATTGGTGGATTCAGCTCCCCCGTTTATTGTGCGTAATGTCTGATGCCCTTTGTTCCTTCCTTTATTAATATCCAGCTACCTAGCTAACAGTATGGCAAGCATAGATTCAGAGGAAAACACTTGCTTTGTTTCTTGTTATCAGAGGACTGTAGATCTGGATTCACTGTTAGGTTATTTTTGTAAGTAAATACTCCACTGTTGTATTCTGCACTCGGTGGTAGGATGCACAGAGCCTAATTAGACTTTGGTCTTTGTCCTGAGTTCCTGGCACATTGTAGGCACACTGGAAATTTACTTGAATGAGTTAATATCTCCTATCTTAAAAAAAAACCACCAAAACATTTCCCTTGATCCCATATTTTCCTCTAGCATTATCCATTTCTCATCTTGCCAGCAAAACTCAGTTATTTGTACTTTCTGCCTCTGTTTCCTCTCTTGTGTTCTGTCTTGGATAGCACCACTCCACAGAAACAAACCTCTTTGTTAAGGTCACAGTGTCTTCCATGTTATAGCTCCCTCCTTGTTAAAACATTTTCTCCCATGATGACCATGCTTCTGTTTTGTTTTGTTTTCTCTTACTGGCTGCTTTTTCTCATTTACCTTTTTGCCAGTTCCTCATCTCCCCAACCTCTTACTGTTATGTGAGTCCCCTAGGGCTCTGATCCTGGCCTCCCTGTCTTCACCTACATTTATTTCCTAGATGGTCTTATCTAACCCTGTGGTGGTGAATACCATCTGTTTAATATTCATCCCTGAATTTCTGACTTTCCCTGAATTTTAAATTCATATATCTAAATGCTTACTCAAAAATTTCACTTGGATATCAAATAGGCACCTCAGACGTAACATATTCAAAACTGAATTCCTATTCCAGCCCCCTAACCCCCCCACCTCCACCTCCACCCCTAAACCCTCTCCTTCTCCATTGTTCCTCTTTAGTAACTAGCCATACCATTCAACCAGGTGCTCAGACCCAAAACTGTAGTATCATGATATCCTTGACAACTCCTTTCTCTTACATCTAATCTGTTGGCAAATCATACCTTTTATGCCTTCAGAATTATTTAGAATCTTATTACTTGTCACCACCCTAACACTACTTCCCTAATCCATGCTGCCGTCATCTCTTGCCTAGATTATTGCAGAAGCCGCTTAATAGGTCTCCGATTTCACTCTCACCCACTATAGCCTGTTCTCTCTGATGCCAGGGTGATCCCTCTAAAACAAATTCACTTCTCTGTTTAAAAAAGGGACATCTGTAATATTTTAAACAAATAAAATTTTAAAAAAACAAAAAAAAAAACACTGCAGTTACTTCCCATGATAACTTAGCATAAAATCGAAAGTTCTCACCATTGTGTGCAAGGTGCCCTGTTTTATCTGGCTCCTAGTTACCGCCCTGACCTTGTCTTCTGTGTTTGCCTCCTTGCTACATCTCAGCCGTGACAAGCTCATATCTCCTGAGGGATTCTGCACTTGCTCCTTCCCCTGCCTGAAATATCTTTTCCTGAGGTGACTTCATACGTAGAATTAAGAGCACAAACTCTGGAGTCAGACTGCTTCGGTTTGAATTTTCTAGTTGTCTTACGTTGGACAAGTTAGTTAACCTTATTGTGCCTCAATTTCTATATCTGAGAACAATAGTAGTACCTACTTCATTGAGTAATTATGGTGATGGTACGAGTTGATACATGCAGAGCACTTAGACTAACCCTGCCATATAGTAAACTCTGTGGTAGCCATGATGATTATTACTTCATGATGATTATTACTTCATCAGGTCTCTACTTACATGCTACCTGTGCAGAGATGATTTAAATAGTGGTAGAAGCATCAGAATAAATGATAAATGTGCCTCCTGGGGGGATCTGCTTGGAAGAGGACAGCTCACTGTGATATAATGACAGCTCATGTGTGCAGGTGGATGTCACAGTTGTGCCCGTTCATTTAGTTACCAGCCTGTAACTTCCCACATACCCCCCACCCATTTCTCTTTCCCTAGTCAATCAGTTTTGTAGGACTCACTGCTGATCAGTATTCCCACCTCAGATCGTGCTAATTCCTATGTGGATGGACATACGAAGCAGAAGTTACCTCACCACCCCTTTGCCCCCTCAGCATGGATTCCATGGGCAGCATCCAGAGCTCTCTATTTCCTCCCCTCACCTTTAGCAAAGTACTGGGGGAAATTTTGTTATCCTAAATATTCTGACCATTTATTACATGTGTGTGCGTGTGTGTGGTGTGATGTGTTTTAACTTTAGAGAAAAGAGGAACAAAATGAAAAAGGGACAGGGCACAGCAAATTAATTAACTTTTTAAACTTACCGTCTGTGTTCATTTTTTCTATCAGCAAACTTTCTTTAAAATATCTAGGATTCCGTAGTATCCTTCAGGGACAGGCGGACAGGGAAATATCGTGAGATTGGGCCTTGTTTTGTAAAGAAACACCCTGGTCAGAAGTAGTCTGTTGTGGAAATGGTTAACGAGGGAAGGAACTCACTGGGGCCCTAGGAGTGAGAAGGTTCAGAGAGGAGGTAAGTGAAGAAATATGTAACAGGGCTGCCCAGGCTGAGAAACAGCTTCAAGGTTCACAGGTCTCACCATGCACAGGCTGTAGAAATCCTCTGCAGTGGCTTGGAGCTCGGGGTAGGGACCCTGCTCCCAATGCCAGTTGAGAGGAAGCTTGGAGCCTCTGAAAGGCTGGATCTCATGCTCCCAGCCACAGTGAGAGGAGTGTTCTTGGTTCTCTAACATCATTGCTTATGTATAATTCTCTGTATAACTGGCCAGTAAATTGACCTGGAATGACTTTGATATTTTTCTTTTCTTTTCTCTGATCAGAAACAAGGGCCCTTTGAAGTAATTGGAACTATTGGTAAATACTCCTAGTGATACCCTGAATGCAGCGAAGAGTCTTCACCTTAGTCAGGGCAAAGTAGGCTTTAGATAAGAGCCTATTGTTAGACCAGTTAATGGATTAGTTTCCCCACTCTGTGTTTCATTTTTGTGAGAGATGCTTAGCATCAGTTGTAAAGTTCATGCTTCCTTTTCCAAATGGGGAGATTTTGTGTCATGTTCTAATACTACTCCACTCAGCTACTACACTAATGAGTAGTCGTTACTCCTGCAACTAGAAAGAGGGAATACATGTACTGTGTATTTAATGAGTGCAGCCTGCTTCTTGAATTCTTTCATGCTAGTACCGTGACAATTGTTTGCCTCCCAGAAGTATGCAGTGTCCCGGAGGAGCACCCTGACTTGTGTGCCCACAGGGCACCCTCAGCCAGGCTCGTCACACCTAGATGTGTGTGGGGGCTGTTCAGAGGTCTGTCTGCTTTGGTCTCTGCCCAGATGATGAATGTCAGTTCACAGTCCTGACTGTCCCTAAAGATCAAAGTAACTTCCTTGGTGGTTTTAGGGCACTTTTAGTCATTTATGATGACTCAGTTTCTTTATTCCATCAGTTCAGGAATTCCATAGGCAGCTTTCCCTGGCTCTTAGGACCCTGCATTATCATTATTTGACTCTTTAATGGAGACTCTGACATCTCATTAAAGATGCTTGAAAGTTGTAGACATTTAGGTATCCCATAAAAACATCCAGAAGTTTTAACACTTTTCAGCGCTGCTCAGTTACAGAGCTCTAGTGTGAATTTTTTCATAGCCTGTGTCCTCACTGTCGTAAACTTCCCTCCAAAAGTTGACACTTCTGAGTTATTAGTGCTTAAAAGGATAGTTTGATTAAGTGGAATCTTGGTAAAGAGCAAACTTCAGCTTATGCTTGCATAGTGACTTACAAAAGGTAGACTACTTATAATATTGGGTATAACTATATGCTTTTGTCCTTACCTTAAATATTGGATTTTAATTTTTAAAACAGATGTGGTTTTTAGAGCAGTTTTAGATTTACAGAAAAATGAAGAAGGTAATACAGAGTCTTCATACCCCCATCCCCTATCCACACATGTAGTTTTCTCTATCATTAACATCTTCTAGTAGTATAATACATGTGTTCCAATTAATGAATCAATTTTGATACATTATTGTTAACTAAAGTCCACTCTATTCAGATTTCCTTAGTGTTTATTTAATGTGCTTTTTCTGTTAGAGGATCCTATCTAATATATCACATTATAGTCAGTTGTCATGTCTCCTTATGCTCCTCTTGGCTATGACAGTTTCCCAAACTTCCCTTGTTATTGATGATCATGACAGTTTTGACAAGTACTCCTGAGGTATATTGTAGATTCCTCCTCTTGGAGTTTGTCTGATGTTTTTCTCCAGATTACACTGGAGCTATAGGATCATATGATGATACTATGTTTAGCCTTGTAAGAAATGGCCAAACTGTCTTCCAAAGTGGCTGTACCACTTTGTATTTCCACCAGCAATTTATGAGAGTTCTGTCACTTGCATACCTGTCAGCGAGTCAGTTTTTTGGACTTCAGCCATTCTGATAGGTGTGCAGAGGTTGGGTTATATTTTTTAATTTAGTCTTAGTACCATATTTCGTTATATCTGACTATGGAAACAGCTTCCTCCTGGTATTTCTCTTCAGATTAGCATTAAGGAAAGTATGTGTGCCTTTCTCCATTTGAATAACTGTTACAGATGTTTAAATAGCACTTCACTTATTATAATAAAATACAATTACCTATTCTCTTTGCTTTCTTATTACTAATAGCTTATAACCTGCATACTGTGTTAAGTTGCATTCCATTGATGTTAATGTCTTATGTTTAATTGCTTTTGTTTAATTTTTTTATTCTCATTTTCCATTCTTCAAAGTCAGTTTTTTTGCTTTTTTGTTTGTTTGTTTGTTTGTTCATAAAGCTTTTTTGTTTCTGTTACATTATGTAGTTTTGTACCAATGGCTAGAAGCAGATCGTCATGGCAAGAGCCAAGATGCTGCAAATACGACCTCAGGTAAAAATAAAAAGTCGAGGTGTTAGAAATCATTATTTTAATTCACCCAAGCCCATCGTAATTGTTTCTTTTTTTAGTTTTTCTTGGGCAAAAAATAGGTATTGTTTTGTATTTCTGTTCTCTCATCTGCATCCTAATTTTCTTAAAGACCAAATTTGCTTCAAGCCTTGAAAAAATTATTCATGATCCTTTAAGCTCTCTTGGCAGATATGTCCTATTATTTTTAGGAGGAAAGACCTCATTGCAACTTAGGTTTAGTGGGAGATTACTTGACTATTACTTGAAACTAAGTTTATATATAATTGTAGTGGGGAAAACTATATTAATATTTGCACAAATTTATCCTTGTTCATTTCAGGATGATATCTGAAAGTGGATTTTAAGTAAAGGATGCTTATATATAATTTCCAATTCCTGGGAATCCAAATCCTTAAACTGATTCATTTCTCCTGCTAAGTCCCAGTAATAGATTCTAAGTTAGAGATTTATTAAAACATGAGCTCAATGTGAGAAGTTAAGGTTGTTCCCCCATCTCACATCTCCAAAAGGCATCTCCAGATTTTCTTCTCTGGGTGGTACTAGTAGAAATAGCTGCATCCACTCATTTAGAAATCCTTAACAGTGCTACCAGAATTTCTACATAGTTTATTCCCCTGATGTCCTTCAAAATAATATTTGCCAAGACAGCTGTATATGTAGCAATGATCTTTCCCATTGCCCCCCCTCCCCTGGCAGTCTAATGAGAGGTGGCGGTGGTGGTTCTGTTTTTCTTTTGTTAGATTTGTGTTTCTGTTTCATGGGGTTTTTTCGGTTTTTGTTTCTCTGAAATTTTTTCTTTCTGGAGGTGGTTTTCCTTCTCTCTTTTCTGGTGATTAATTGGGCCTCAAAGGGTGTGGTGTTCCTTAGTTAACAGAACAATTATATTGAAAATGGCACTTTTGTGACTTTTCTGATTTATCTTCTGTCCCATTAATATCGATATATGAATGAGGATAATGTTACTATTTTAGCTGAACTCAGGCAGGAATCATTTAAAGGTAAGTGTTTCAAGGAGTTGTATCCTGCATATGTGCCGTTTCTTCTGCCCCACAGCGTTTCCTATTTTATTTACATTCATGGATAATAAAAACAAGCACTTGGGTATTTGAGGGTGGGCGAAGGAGAGTGTTGCTTGATGGCTATATATTTTCTGAGGATATCCTCCTGTTGCTGTGTCAATAGCACAGTCAGCAGATAGACCTTTAGAACCAGGAGGAAGTTTCTGTTTTATTTTTTCTCTGACTTGAGATGAAGTAAAAAGTGACCTTTTTTTAAAATGAAGTGACTAATCTAAAAATCTTAGTGTTTGCATGAGAATACAGTATTAGCTTAAAGATGTCATTCACCCTTCCTGAAATCAGCCATTCTGAACCCTCTTTTCTTCAGACACATAGACTCATGGACCATTTCACCCTTTCCCATTGTCTTTTTGATGTTTACACACTCTAGAAGCATGGTGCAAAAACTGATAAACTTTACTTAGGGATGCCTTTGACATTTGTCTTCTAGAAGTGAAAGCTCACTACACCTCTTAGAAGATGGAAATATGGGGTAGAAAGATACAGAAATGACTTGCTTGCCTAAATAAGTAAGAGGTATGAGCCCAACAAAAAATGATCATTAGCCAAGGACTTAAATTAGAAACAGGAGGTTACTTGCAACGAATCTATTTAAATTATGTGCCTTTATTCAAAAAAGCTCCTGGGTATTTTATATTGCAGTCTCCAGCAAGATTTTAGAGTGTGCCTTTACCCTCCTGTGATCTGTTAAGTTTTGCACTAAAAGGTGTTTTAATATTCACCTTTTTGTATTTTTACCAAAAATGGAAACAGTTTGACTACATGTCCAAGCATGACTTACAAATTGCCTTATGACATTTTTACTTGTATAAATACTGGTAAGTGGCATTTGTCTTTTGCTATAGCAGTTTGTGTTTTACGCTTAAAAAAGTAAACTTAAAAAGTACAAAAAACACAGGAGACAGAATAAGGTCTTTTCATCCCTCATTCTCAATTTTTTGACATTGAGAATTTAAGATCTATCTACATTAAAATAGTTTATGAAACTAAGGCATTTGTAGATAACAGGTCTCATGGGAGTTAATTTGGTCAAGGAGATAAAGAATTTAGCTGACAGCTATTATTAAATTTTCTTATATATAACAATCAAAGTATAGCCTACTTTTCTTCCCAGATTTTTGACAGGTGATGAATTTGGCTTAGAATAAATTTTTTAAAATATATTTTTTATTTATTTTAGGGAGAGAGGAAGGGAGAGGGGAAGAGAGAAACATCGATGTGACAGAGAAAATAGACTGGCTGCCTCTTGCACGCCCTCCACTTGGAATTGAGTTCACAACCTGGGCATGTGCCCTGACAAGGAATCAAACCAGCGACATTTCTGTACATGGGAGGATGCTCTGCCAATTGAACCACACTGGCTAGGGTGGAATAGACTATTTTCAGAGTTTAGTGTGTTTAATGTGCTTTGCCTCCTAAAGTAGACAACTTAGTATTGATGTTTATAATTGTGTTAATTCTATTACTTGTAAAAACCTAGAGATGCAGTCACATTTATCAGAGAATTTTGTGGAAATGTAAGCCCATCGCCTCCTTTGAGCACTGTAACATTGGATCAGTCTATGTACAAAATTTCAGGATCATAGGTATGATCAGCTTGATTCAGGATGTTTCTTTAATGAATTAAATGTTACCAAATAGATATTTTTATCATCACATACTACAGGGAGGATTATTTTATCCTATCTGATTTTTAGTATCAGTTTTCTAGCCAGGACTTTAAAATTCAAATTCTAAAGTCTTAAATGCAGACCTCTTATTAAACAGTTTTTGAGGTTTATTTTCTTTTCGGTTTTCCATTGAGAATTTTACAATGCAGACTATTAGAGGTAGAAATTGAATTAGATGTCAACATTATCAGTCAGTATAGCTACAAAATAAAAATAAAACTATGACATGCTTTTGAAAAAATTCTAGATGTTAGCTAATTGTTAATTATTTGTTATAGGTGAAAATTTTGACCAGAGTCCTTTGAGAAGAACATTCAAATCTAAGGTTCTGGCCCATTATCCTCAGAATATAGAGTGGAACCCCTTTGATCAAGATGCAGTGAACATGGTATGTGTTTTTCTTTTCCTCTTTAGCCTTTTTATTTTATTGAGATGACAATAGTGACTATTTTGAATGTTCTACATTATTTAATTCTTTAAATATACAGTTTAGTATAATAATATACTTATTCACAGATGTAAAAAAATGAAACTTGGAGTTCCGGTAACTTGCCTGGGGTCCCCATAGCAAATCACTGTACAATGGGACCCTCCAAGCCTGTTTTCTTTCCTACTATTAAGCTTTGTTGTGAGTTTGTATTAATTGATCCATAGGTGGCTTTGATAAACAGTGATATTACTTTGTTTTCCTGGTAGGAATCCTGATGGAAGGAGTATGATTACAGTTTTCATATTTCAAGGAATGTTGTATGATGGCCTATAAATTATCATATTCACAAAGCAAAGAGGGAAGGGAAATTCAGTGCATCATTTAGACAGTAGGAATTTGTTTGTAAGGAATTTGACCTAATAAATGAATTACCAGTGGTGATTATAAGTCCCTTTAGAGATTGTTGGGCATAAGTAGGTCATAGTTTTCAGATCATTCAGGGAGGGTTCTGCTTAGAAGTTTGGATAGTATTTTAGACATTTGTGAGTTCTGTGATTATGAAAATCAGGGGACCCCAAAGTAAGCAAATCAGAGATCAGGCCTGATAGGTACAGAAATGACTAAAGGTGGACTGAGACACTAGTGATTGCTATAGTTTTGGGATTTTTTAGGGTTTTTTCTATTTTAAAGGTAAAGCCAAAAGACCCTGTTATGATGTGATACTTTAAGGGAAGGATATGTTTAGTAGATGCTTGCCAGATACTTCATGTGTGTTACCTTCACATACATGCTTACATGTACCCAGTGAGGACTCTAACTCATATTTTACAGAGGTTAAGTTACTTGTCCAAAGTTATGTAGGCGTCTCAGAGGTTAAATACAGATTATTTTTTTCACCAGCTTTTTTCCCTCACCAGCATGCTGTCCCCCCCAAGGAAAAACTATGTAACTTAGTTTTGACCTGCCCAAAATGATATGGGTCACATTGGACCTTTGTGGTATTTCTATATCACAGTAAACCCATTCCAGTCTGGGCTTGCACCAGGAGGAAGTAGCATGATAATTTTTCTAAGGACAAATGCCTAAGCCACTTGGTACTTTGATTCATTACAGAGTGCAGTGTATTTATTTCTCCGAACTGTCACCCAATACCAAAATAATGAGATGCCATTTTGCTGCATCTTTGGTGCAGACGAAACCATAGATACTAAGTAGGACACAACTGTTATATTTATGAGACTTGGAGAAGCACAGACAAGTTTCTGACTAAAATCATCAACAAATGGCAGTGACAAAAAATTATTTATCAGCTGCTTATTGCCAGCAAGTTAATGGAAAAATATTAAAGAAAAGAGTGTGAAAACGAAGCACTGGAAAAATCGATAAGAATGTAAATAGATTATAACACTTAATCCTCTTAAACTAGTGAGATATTTCAAAGTATAAATTATTCTGTGAGAAATCAGAATGGTGTCCAAAACTAGGGTCTTCACTACAGTGTAAACCCACAGTCATTTGGAACCCAATACCACACTTAATGTGTTTTCTTTCTTTTAATCATTTGAATGGATTAAAAGTGAGATACTTGTGATAGCTTTTGCCTGTGTCTGCAGAACAGTAATTTTTAAAGTACTTTTCCATTTCCTTGCTCTGTCTTTGCTATTTTCTTTTCCCCTTGCCTCTGAGGTTATTTTATATAAGCAGCCAAAGTTTCCCTCTGAAGAATAAACACATAGGTGTGTGTTTTGATGGTTAAGCACCACACAGCATTTTGTTTATTGCTGCAAATCTAAAAGGATTTGCTGGTGCTCCTTGAAAATCTCTGAAAAGCATCCCATTAAACTAGTCTGCATTTGGGTCATAGATTTACTGCCCTTAATTTCCTCTTTGATTTATTAGTAAGTGCATTTGTATGAAGCTATAATTTATTCCCACCTAAAGATATAGAGCTTTGTTCTTGTGGTTAGCAAAATCCCACTCCAACGAGCCACCGCCTTCTGTAACATCAGTCATTGCTCTAACAAGCAACAGTGGTGCTTCAAAATAAGGGTAATTCATTTCACACAGAAATTAAGTACCCCAAAGCAATGAAATTTTTTAAATAAAAAAAATTCTACATGTATGAGTGCAATGCAAATATAATAGAAAATATATATAAGTGACAAGTGAAATTGTTTCTGAATTCATTGCTTTTTATATCTCTTTTGGTTGCTAATTCAGAGATTTTTATGGGGAAAGATGGAAGTATCATAAAACAGAGAACAATACAGCATACAGTCTTATACCCACCACCCGGAACTAAGACACGTCAACACTGACACATTGCTTCAGATCCATACCTTTCTTCAGTGAGGCAAAGCATTGCAGATAGAGCTGATGTTCCCCTGACATTCCCCCATTTCAGATCTCTTTGAGGCACTCTATATCAGCATCCATGGCTATTTATGCAATGTTCTAGTAGATGGATCTTATCCTTAAGAATGTAGTAAACCTGGGAATTGTTAGGAAGAAAATATGGTTAGTATCTTTTAAGTGAGTTATATGAAATAAAAAGATTCTGTTCTGTTTATCTGTCCTAAATGGAACATTTGATATGTGATATTTCCAGCAATTAAAAGGGTAATAACTATTATAAAGCTCTTTACAATCTATAAAGCTCTAAGTTTACAATTTACGTATTATTTACTTTGATAACGAAGATGAGTGGAATGGAATGTTGAGCAGAGAGGAAAGGAGAAAGGGTTGGCTGGGAAAAACCTATTCAGATGCCCATCTTGCAAGATTCAAAGGAAAAAGGGTGTTATATGTGCTTCACAGACTCAGCAAGAATTTGAAATGGATAACCCTTAGTTACATTAATAGGTTTAACATTAGAATGAAATTGAGCACTCATTTTGACCCAAGTTTAAGTTTGTGTCTCACAGTAAACTCATAGGAATGGGATTCTAATTCAGTCATTACTGGGGGAGCCCACTTCTTTTCTTAACATCACAGTTAAAATATTACACTGGCATCTCAAACTCAGCATGCCCAAACTGAATTCACAATCTTCCCTCTAACCTTGGTCAGTATAACCATCTCCATCTCCCTAGTTACCCAAGTCAAAAATCTAGTATCATCCTTGAAAGTTCTCACTTTCTTACCCTCCCCCCTATGGAGTCAGTTATCTGCCTACTTCTCTCTGTTTCTACACACCCACCATAGTCCAAACTACAGTACCAAGCTGTCCTCCCTGGACTCCTGCAGTAATTGTCCAATTGGCCTCCTGCTCCGTCCTTTCCGTTCCCCACACTGTAGCTTCTGCGTGTGCTGTCGCTTCTCTTGGAAGGCTCTCCACATAGTGAGTTCTTATTGACCCTTCAGGTTTCATTTTAACCTGAAGTCATTCTTGACCACCACCTTTCAACATTCAGTCAGGTCCCCTTAGGTTCTCTTAGCACCTTGCACCTTTTGTAGCACTTACCCCAATTGCACTAAATTAATTATGTAGTTTGCTGTCAAGTCTGTGTCTCCTACTATAGTGCAAGCACCGCTAGGGCAGAAACACTTACATTCATTGCTATATCCCTAGGTTTGCACAGAGTAGAGGCTCAGATCATTGAATAAATGAAAGAATGTTTACTTGCTTACAGTACTTCCCTTCCCTATCCTTGTCTATTCAGGTGTTACCGCTACTGCAAAACCATCCCTTAAGCAGGAGTAGCTAGGTTTTCTCTCCTCTCTCTTTCTATAACATCCTGAACACACTCCATGGCAGCACTGATCACAGCATTTTGTAACTGTTGGTTTATACAGGGTGGGACAAAAGTAGATTTACAGTTGTGAATACGCAAAACACAAAGCTTATTCTCGTAGTATTAATTGCATTATTTTTCATATCAACAGCTGTAAACCTACTTTTGCCCCACCCTGTATGTCTGTCTTTCTTATTAGACCGTGAGCTCCCTGAAGTAGGGATTATTTTCATACTTTTCTTTGAGTTATCAAGATCTAACGCAATACAGTGGTCCTTCGGATTTCGAATGTCATTCGTTCTGGAAGGTCCGTTCGAGTTCTGAAATGTTCGAAAACCGAGGGATCAACAGCCGACAGCTGGGCCTCAGGATCTTGCCTTCAGTGGAAGCCATGTGGCATGTTTGACTTTCAAGGCGAGTTCGAAAACTGAAGCATTTACTTCCAGGTTTACGGCACTCGTAAACTGAAGTGCTCACCAACAGAGACGTTCCAAAACCGAGGTACCACTGTACATGGTATAAAACAAATGTTATTAAAGGAGGGGAGGGAGAGAAGAAAGGAAGGCAAACTGACCAACTCTTTGGGAGCTTTCTGAGTAATTTCTCTTTTATTTGTGTAATAAGGGAGAGGGTATAGGAATTACAGAACAATAGAAAATAGAAAAAGGAATTATTAAAATTCTAGACAGAACTTTCTGAAAGAGTCCAGAGGGACAGTAAGGACATTTGGTCACTCAAACCAGGAGATGTACACAGCATTGTGAGCCCACTTTGGCTAAAGTTATCTGATTACCAGCGGCAATCTGGTCAACAATGAACAACTCTTAATTTTTAGTTGTTATATTGTGAGAGAGAGGTATCAAGAAGGGGGTATTGTTAGTAAATAGCAATATTAGAGGATAACAAGAGATTGCTGAATGCTATAGTGAGTATCTTGATTTATATCTCTGGTTTTCTGATAAATAAACCTGACACCCTGGCTGGGTAGCTCAGTTGGTTAGAGCATCGTCCTGATACACCAAGATTGTGGGTTTGATCCCTGGTCAGGGCACATATAAGAATCAACCAATGAATGCATAAATAAGTGGAACAACAAATCGATGTCTCTCTCTCCATATATACATATAATCAATCAATCAATATTTTTTTAAAAAGGAAAAAGAAACCTGACAATTCATATAACTATTCTTTTAAAAATGAGAAAGCAATAGCATTTTCCAGTTCATGGTTCTCAGATTAGAAATATAATTCTTACTTCTTTTTATATGTAGGAAGAGAATTTAAGAATTCTTGCATCTGTTATCTGTAGTGCAGAAAGCCATTCTTTACTTTGAGCACAACTTTTGGCAAGCTTTCCCTGTAAATGTTTGAATGTGTGCTCAGGAAAGCTACAAACCCTTAAGGGAATATTTGGCAGCTGTTCAAGAACAGTTTAAGCTGTAATTTTGTGGTTTATGGTGTCAGGAAAGCTGCCTATCAATTAAATTAAACCTTTATGTTGACTTTAGAGGTCACTGTTTCTTTATTGCCTACTTGAGGCAAAAAGAGAACTACAGACTGAATCAAGAGATGAATTAAGTCTGATTCTGTGCTCCCCAGCTCTTGTTTTTGTTTTCTTGTTCATTCATTCATTCATTCATTCATGTTTGTTTTCTTGTTCATTCATTCATTCAAGTTTGTTTTCTTGTTTATTCATTCATTTATTCAACAAATGTGCCATGCACTGTGCTAAACAAGTTTGAGTTTAGTCTGGAGCAAGAGTGATTCAATTCATTCTTCCTACAATCTTTTTTTTTTTTTTTTTAAATATGTCTTTATTGATTTCAGAGAGGGGAAGGGAGAGGGAGAGAGAAAGAGAAAGAAGAGAAAGAGAGAAACATCAATGATGAGAGAGTCATTGATCGGCTGTGTCCTGCATGCCCCTTCCTGGGGATCAAGCCAGAACCCCGGGCATGTGCCCTGACTGGGAATCAAACTTCGATCTCCTGATCACAGATCGATGCTCAACCGCTGAGCCACTCTAGCGGGGCATTTTTCCTACCATCTTTATTGACAATAGTAAATGTATCACATGAGTTTTCATTCATAATATCAGCAGAGGATCTCATTGACTTGTTATGATGAAAGCAACCTTACCTTAATGTGACAGCATAATTATGAAAAGATCCTGCCATGGCCTTTCCTTATAGAATTTTCTCCAAGATTAGGAATAATCAATTTTCCACCCCAGCAAATCCAGGTATTCATGTGTTTTACCTAAGTCTATTTTATTCTACTCAGATTAGACAGCAATTTAATTCTTGTCAACATATATAAAAATAATTAAGTGAAGCTACTTTAGTTCTTTGCAGGTCTCATATTCAGTGATCTGAAATATAAAGTCATTTTCGCTGGCGCACTGATGCTGCGCTGGACAGCTTTTCTTTTTATCCTTATCATTCATCATCTATTATGGCCCCAAATAGTGTATTTTCCCATGTGTGGTATTCTTGAATGTTTCAGGCTATCATCAGTCCTTCAGTAGTTCGCAATCTAGAAATCAAACAAAATTAGAGAAACTAGTAATATGTGTCAGTATACAATCTACATATGTATACAGTGGTGCAATATTTTAATTGCTTCATTCACTAAAGACTTTTTAGGGAAGTGATTTTTTAATGGCATTTATAGGGTAAAAATACTATTTTTAAGTAACGTTTATGTGGAGACTTGAAGTAAGGGAGTGTTTCTGCTATCTGTTGCTGAATAACAAACCATCCCAATAACTACTGAAGTGGCTTAATAGGTTTTTCCCACAAAGGGCCAGATAGTAAATATTGAGGCTGTGTGGGCCATGCAGTTTCTGTCCCAGTTCCTCAGCTCTGCTGGCATAGTGCAGAAGCAGCCACAGAGAGTGGATCAGTGTGATGGTGTTCCAATAACATTTCATTTACAGACCAAAAGGTTGCAGTTTGTTGACTCTTGATTTAAAACAAGACCATTATTTTGCTTACAAATCTGCAATATGGATGGAGGTTGGCAGGATTGCCCTCTCAAAGTCATGCCCATTCCTTTATCTTGTCAATATCTGCTTTCACAGTACAATGGTAGAGTTGAGTGGTTGTAACAAAGACTATGGCCTGAAGACCGTAAAGTATTTATCTGGCTCTTTACAGAACAAGGCGTTGGGTCCCTGGTTTGGGGTCGCTCTGCAGCCCAACTAGACTCGTGATGGGAGAGTGTCATGGTTCTGGAAGAACATGTAGAACTATAAAAAATGTTGGAGCCATTTTTAGAAAATACAATCTGCTACAGGGAATGAACCATGTGGATACCAAGGGGAAGATAGTTCCAGCCAGAGGGACTAGCAGATTTTGGCAAGAGCTAGCTGGGTGTGTCACAGAACAGCAATCTGGCTACTATTCTTAGAGCAGAGGAGGTGAGCTAAAGAGTAGTGGGGGGTGAAGGCAGAGAAGTTGCTGGGGCCAAGTCATGTGGGGCCTTATAGGAGACTTGCAGTATAAGGATTTCAGCTTTTAGTGAGATGAGCGGCTACTGGAAGGTTTTGAGAAGAGTGACAAGATCTAACATTTTTTAAGGATCACTTTGGCATCATGTGGGGACTAGATTATGGGGAACAAAGGCAAAAGCAGGAGATTGGTTGGCAGGATGTTAAATAGTCACCAGGTAAGAGGAGACGTGACTTAAAGTAATAAGAGTGACGATAGAATGAACTGTTTCGTTCGTGAATATGTTTTGAAAGGTAGAACTGATGGTCTTCGTTGATAGATTAGGTAATGGGATGAGAGAGAAAGAGAGAAGTCAAAGATGACCCCAAAGCCCTGAGTCATTCTTGCTGCCTTCTTCAGACCCCTTCAAAAACCACTGCCCTTCAGTGCAGGAAGGTTGAGGAGCTAAGGGGCACATCTAATTCTGTCCCCTTCCTGCGAAAAACCCTTAAGAAGCTTTCATTGTCCTCCCCAGACTTCTAATGTGACTCACCAAAGCCCTTCATGATCAAGCCCCTAATTATTTCTGTGTTCTCTCTCACCTGCCTCCACCTTGCTTCCCATTCCCCGCCCACAATGAGTTTCGGTTCCTCAGACCCTCATACTCTGTCTTCTGGGCTTTTGCACCTGTTGTCCTCTCTGCCTCTCTTCATCTCACTAACACCTATACTTTTGCTCAGGTTTCTACTTGGATTTTCTTCATTTTTTTTCCTGGTAGCTCCCTCTTTTCTCATTTATGTCCTCCTGCTATGTTGTGTTTGTTTGTTTTTCATAACAGTCTGCATCTACCCTATTATAGTACTTTCCATACTTTATCATTTCTGGTTTTTGGTTTTTTTTACAAATTTTGTTTTTAAATATATCTTTATTGATTTCAGAGAGAGGAAAGGAGAGGGAGAGAGAGAGAGATAGAAACATCAATGATGAGAGAGTCATTGATCGGCTGCCTCCTGCATGCCCCCGACTGGGGATTGAGCCCACAACCCGGGCATGTGCCCTTACTCGGAATCGAACTCTGATCACCTGGATCCTAGGTCGACGCTCAACCGCTGAGCCACGCCCGGCTGGGCTCGTTTCTGATTTTTTAAACATCTGTCATTCTTACTGGACTGGAAGCTCCAAAGGAGCAGGGACCATGTCTGTATCTCTCACCATTGTATCACCATCAGGGCCTAGCTCATAAAGGCAATTAGTAAGTGCTTGTTGACAGTTTGACTAAAATGCATGTAACTTTTAAGGTAAATTGTGTTTTCTTGGTAATGTGGTGATGGATGTGGGAGAACTTCTCAATTTTACATCAGATCAATGATCAAGCCTGGGAAAAAGAAAATAAAAATGTAATGTGATAATGTATGGTAAAATTATTTCTATGCAAAAAGCATATTGTAATATAAAAGTAAAAAGGAATATATAAAAATTAATAATGATCATGCTAGAGTAGTTGAATTATAAGTTCTGTTTTCCTTAGTATATTTCAAATTTTCTGTAATTTGTTTTATTTCTTTTATTTAAAATAGTTTTAGAAGAATTTTAAAGAATCAATTCTAATTTCTTGTGTATTTTAAGTATCTTAAATATAATATTTTAACTCCTCAGGTAATTTTATTCCCAAATTTGACTGCATCCTGGGTAGTTCCAAGAACTAGAGCATAATCTCTATTGGAAATAATCTAAAATGTCTGGCTTCTACCCTTCTGCTTCAGTAAATTAAAAATCACTCCACTTTCAAAGTTTACTTTTCGATGATGAAATATAATATTGTTCAAAATAGAGAAAGTAATTATTATGTGTTTACCTTTTTTCTGTTTATCAAATGAGCCTTCACCTATTTCTCTGTTCCTTTGACACATCATCACTACTCCAAAAATAGTACTTAAATATTAAATATTTGTAAAGTGTCCTTGCGTATTTTGTCTTCAAGTCACTGATGTAGGAAATGTTGCAGATAAACTGTGGCTCGGACATTACATGATGAGCTGAATGAAGGTCATGAGCTTGGATAGAGGTTCTCGAGCATTTTTTTCTGGTTTGAAGTTACTCATGTACTGTATTCTGATGCTTTGCCCCTTCCTCCACAGCTGTGCATGCCAAAAGGGCTGTCTTTCAGAACACAGACTGACAACAGAGACCCTCAGTTCCATTCATTTATAATTACTCGGGAAGATGGTTCTCGCACCTACGGTTTTGTTCTCACTTTTTATGAAGAAGTTACAAGTAAGCAAATCTGCACAGCTATGCAGACACTGTACCAGATGCACAACGCGGAGCATTACAGCAGCGTCTACGCTTCCTCCTCCTGCAGCATGGACTCGCTGGCCAGCAGCATTGACGAGGGAGATACAACTTCCCTTTTGAAACTACAGCGATACAACTCCTATGACATCAGCAGAGACACCCTGTATGTTTCCAAAAGTATATGTTTGATAACACCACTGCCTTTCATGCAGGCCTGCAAGAAATTCCTCATCCAGCTTCACAAGGCAGTTACCTCACAGCAGCCACCACCCTTGCCGCTGGAGAGCTACATCCACAATATTCTCTATGAGGTACCCCTTCCACCTCCAGGGAGATCTCTGAAATTTTATGGTGTTTATGAACCTGTCATATGCCAGAGGCCTGGGCCCAATGAACTCCCCCTCTCTGATTACCCTCTTCGAGAAGCCTTCGAGCTCCTGGGATTGGAGAACCTGGTGCAGCTGTTCACCTGTGTTCTTTTAGAGATGCAGATCCTTCTCTACTCACAAGGTAGGTCTTCCCTAGACTTTCAGTCTCCCACAAACAAGTACTTATGCTCGCAACTGCTGTATTTCCATGGGGTATATTATTAGAACCAAATAATTCATGGTCAGAAGTCTTTACTGTTTTGTGGAAAAGGAACAGGTGTTTGTGGGACCAGAGGCTGAGACATTCTGTCTCTTTAGGGTAGCAGTGGCTGTAGAGAAAAACAGGAAGAATATAAAAACAGTAACTTGGCTGATTTAGTCTATTTATTTTTTCATGGAAAACCCCTCTTTTTCCTAATAATACGTACTTATCCTAAAAGAAAAATTTCTTTTCATAATGAAAGTAAGAGAATCCTGTTACTACCAGGAGCATGTAGACTTCTCATTTATTACAGATCAGTGAAGGTTCATGTCAATTCAGCTGGCATTGGAAAGGGAGAAACGAAATTGTTAAGACTCTGCAGCTTCCTAAGGCAACGATTTTCAACCTTTTTCATCTCATGGCACACATAAACTAATCACTAAAATTCTGCAGCACACCAAAAAAAATTATTTTTTTTTTTCTGATCTGACAAAAAAATAGGTATAATTTTGATTCATTCACATGGGATGGCTATTGTTGTGTTGGCTGTTGTCATTTTTTATTTGACAATTTAAGGGAAAAGAGGTCAGTGCCGCAGATTAAATAGTCAGGTATGGCATGTTTTAAAAATTCTTGTGACACCCCAGTAGAAGGTCGCTGTCCTAAGATAATCAACTTTGGGTCTTTGCCTGTGGGCAATTTCATGTGGTGAGAGAAGGGGTACAGCGTGAAACAGACATGCCTTGCCTGGATCTAACAATTCCACCAGAGTTATGTGGGGCTTGGTTTTGTTTTTAATCCCAGAAGGAAGTTACCTTGGTGATATTTTTCATTCAAAGCTCTCCCAACACATAAGAAACTAACAAAACTTGGGTTTTATTTTACCAGTATGAATATGAATTTGCAGAGGAAATAGAGCTGCTGTGTCTTAATGGATAATGAATTGAAGGAACATATAAAATGGTACTTGTGCATTGATGAGCCCTCTAAGGAATGTGGCACACATATTTGGGTTAGCATTTTGCTAACTTGTATTTAGGCAGAATCGTGGTGCAATCTCCTGACTGCTGCTGTCAGATTTACTTTACCACATTCCGTTTTTTCTTTTCTATTTTAGATTATAAGTGAGGCTGAGCCAAGTAGGCTATATTTGTCCTTCCCCATCTTGTGTGTGTGTTGACACTATTTGTGTGTTGACAGCACTTCATGGGGTTGTATTTTCTTCTGTTTATCCTACATAATGTTCTTTGATAATGTGTCCCAGTGTCTCAATGCTTGTAGTCAGGAAGTTCTTCTCTAATGACCAGTCTGAATTCTTTCCTTTCCTCCTGCTCTCACTTTCCTAGTTCCCGCCATTACCTGCAGATCACCCCTTTGTATCTTAAAGACTTAATCTGAAGTAATTCTCCCTTCCTTTCTATTTCTTCCTTTTTTGCTTTATTCCCTGAAGAGGAGGTAAGGGTTGGAGAGTTGCTGAAAGGGGCAGGAGCTTGGTGCTTAATACTCTCAGGTGTATTAACCCATTAGAAAAGATCAGGGTCATTTTGTTCAGTATCCTAATGTTCTGCATGGAAAGAATATTAATTTTGTTGTTTTGTTTTGTTTTGTTTTGTTTTGTTTTGTTTTGTTTTGTTTTGTTTTGTTTTTGTTAATCCCCACCCAGGATATTTTTCCCATTGATTTTTAGAGAGAGTGGAAGGCGGGGGGTGGGGGCACCAGTGTGAGAGACACACATTGATTGGTTGCCTCCCACATGCACCTGGACCAGGGCTGAGGATAGAACTTGAAACCCAGGTACTTGCCCTTGACTGGGAATTGAATCTGCAACCCATCGGTGCATGGGCTGAAACTCTAACTGCTAAGCAACACCAGCCGGGGCAGAGTATTGGTTTTTGAAGTCTTAACACTTCTGGGTTCAAATCTCTGCCCTGTCACTTACTGACTGTAACCATGGACAAGTTACATAATCTTCCTTAGTGTTAGTCAATTCATTTTTATAAGGATAACTGTGTTTTTTTCTTCTCCTCACTGATCTTTTGTGAAGGTTAAATAAGATAACCTGTGTAAAATACTTTGAGCATAATTGGCTGACTACATGATAGCCAATGTGGTTGTAATTATTAGTTTATTAGTCCTATATAATTCTCTCTAAATTATGCATATCTTAAATTGTGATGGTCTAATATATTACTGCATTTAAAGTAACTTTGTTAAATTAAATAGTTGCCCGGCCGGGCATGGCTCAGCGGTTGAGCGTTGACCTAGGATCCAGGCGATCGGGGTTCGATTCCTGGTCAGGGCACATGCCCGGGTTGAGGCTGCAACCAATCAGTGACTCTCATCATTGATGTTTCTATCTCTCTCTCCGTCTCCTTTCCTCTCTGAAATCAATAAAGATATATTTAAAAAAAAAAAAAATTAAATAGTTAAGGCCTTTATTTCAGGGTTGAGAACCTAATAAATGTTCTCTTATACTGAATGTCATGCTTTTTTTGTTTTCAAGGAAAAAACCTTCCATTATCACACTTCCTGTTTTAAATAGCATTGTATGTCTCATTGCTTGTGGTCTGTCCTGAGTTCTCATCTTTCTGCTCTGCTTGATTACCTTATCGCATCTGGTTTATAAGAGTCTGTTGAAAAGTCATAGTTGATTAATATCTCTTTATTTCAATTTCAAATGAAGAAAGATTATTTATGAGCATGTTTTTATACTCAAATGAATATTTTTTGTTAACTTGGTCTTATGTCAAGAACAAGAGTGACTCCTGAGATTATAGAAATAAAGAGTGTCATACAAAAAAAGTCTCATAAAATAATTTTAGAGTCATTCACTGCAAATCACTCTATGGTAGGAATTGTACTATAAAGATGCCTTGTACATTTTGTTCTTTCCCCCACCTTGAATTCTCTCAGCAGTGTGTTAGAACTGATATCTGTGTTTTATCAAGGAGGAAATTGAGGCTCAGGGAAGGTGAGTAACGTGTTCAAGACCACACATAATGTGGTGGAGCTAAAAATGAGGCTCGGACCAGTCTTTCTGCAGAGTACTTAACCATCATGTTAACTTATTGGGCATGCCACTTAACCTTTCCTATCTGTCTCAATATTTATTTTTAAGTTATAAACTCATTCTGCAGGTCTATTGTATAGGTAGCATGCTAAGTAATTACAGAGTATAAAATGAAAGCTCTGTGTAAATGCAGATTTTAATACTGACAGTGTCTCTCCCATTAGAGAAAGACATTTCATTTAAATGAATGAAATAAAAGAGTCATTATGTTGATTTGTACTCTGGTGCCCTCCTTCATTCTTCCTGCCTGTGTTAAGGGGGTTTTAATAACATCTGATACTTCATTTCTTGTTCACTGATAAAGGTATGCTATAAAATTTTAAAATATTACAGGTGCTGAAAAATTACCATGAAACTGCGAAGTGAATCAAAGTAGATGGATTTCAGTGATGAAATTATCTTTCTAGACAGATTTGAAATTCTGGTCATAGTCCATTTAAACAGGTTCAGTCTGTTATTTAGAGAGCGTGTACACCACAGTCATTTTGCTGTGGTAACTAGCTGGGAATTTTAGGCAGAGAATGCACGCACCCAGGCGATAAAAGCTGTTTTCTGGGATCCCAGATCAGAAAAGAGCACTTTCTTCTGCATCCTGGAAATACCTGGAACAAGACAGGGAAGATTGGAGTATGATCCTCTTTTCAAAGAAATAGTGGGGGAATAAGATAGGGGAATTTAAACACCAGTGTCTATCTTTTGGTACCAATAATTAAAGTCTCAGGAATATCTTTGGGCCTCGCTTACACTGCTTTGACTCTTCACAATGGAAATAAGCAGTTACCCACAGCCCACACTGCACTGCCTGGCTGTGTGCCTGCACAGCACTCCTCTCCCCTCCTCTCCCTCCTGTAAGTTGTGCATGAATTAACTGTGTCAGAAAGTAGAAGCTACTTGAGGTTTTCTCCAAAAAGTTGTGAGTTTTCTAATCCCAGGTTACTGATCATGCTCAACTGAACTTCATAACTTATTGGTTATGGAGTTTATAAATCATAAAAGCAAAATTGATATTTTGATGGCAGAAAGTGGGTTCCTATGATCTGTGTCTTAAAAGCAGCAGAATATGATCAGCTTTGGCCAATATTTTTATACTATTAGCCTTATTTTGTGATAATGGAATCTTAATATTGATATTTTTCTTAGTGGTTTTATTTTTTGTTTTATATTCAAGAAACAAAGCCTTTGTCAATTTATGTGTAACATATTTTTTTCCAATTTGTTTCTCTTAATTTTCCTTTAGGGGTTATTTAATGAATTAAGATACTCTCAATATTCATGAATTCCAATTTATCAATTTTTAAAACTCATGACTTTGTTTAAGAAGTCCTCTATTCTGAGGTGAATCATAAAAATACTCTACATTTTTTTAAAAATGTTTTAAAGTTAGATTTAGACCCAGCTGGTGTGGCTCAGTGGTTGAGCACCGACCCATGGACCTGGAGGTCACGGTTCCATTCCCGGTCAGGGCATATGCCTGGGTTGCCAGGTCAATCCCCAGTAGGGATGTGCAGGAGGCAGCTAATGGATGATTCTCTCTCATCATTGATGTTTCTGTCTCTTTCTCCCTCTCCCTCTCTCTGAAAGCAATAAAAACATTTTTTTTAAAGTTACATTTAGCATTTAAGGCCTTAATCTGTATATAAGAAATTGATTTTTGTTTATGTTGTGAGGAAGAGATCAACTTTAATATTTTAGAAATATCTGTAAGTAGTTATGAAAGTGCTGGTTATTGAGTAGACATTCTTTCTACCTCCGATCTGCAGTGCTACTTTGGTCATATGTGTAAGTTCCTGGACATGGGGGCTTATTTCTAGGCTTTCAGTTTATTCTGCCAGTCTTCCTATCTCAGTGCTAAATCACACTGTTGTAATTA